TCATGGTGAATAATCCTTTTAATGTACCGTTGGATCCTATTGGCTAGTATTTTGGTGAGAATTTTTGCATCCATGTTCATCAAGGATACTGGCCTGTAGTTCTCCTTTTTGATGGGGTCTTTGTCTGGTTTTGGGATCAAGGTAATGTCAGCCTCATAAATGAGTTTGGAAGTTTTCTTTACATTTCTACTTTTTGGAACAATTTCAGAAGAATAAGTATTAATTCTTTGTTAAATGTTTGGTAGAGGGGCACCTGGGTGGCTCAGTCGTTAGGCATCTGCTTTCGGCTCAGGTCATGATCCCAGGTTCCTGGGATCGAGCCCCGCATCAGGCTCCCTGCTTGGCAGGAAGCCTGCTTCTCCCTCTCCCACTCACCCTGCTTGTGCTCCTGCTCTCGCTATCTCTCTCTGTGTCAAATAAATAAATTCAAAAGTCTTTTTTAAAAAATCTTAAAAAAAAAATGTTTGGTAAAACTCCCCTGGGAAGCCATCTGGCCCTGGGCTCTTGTTTGTTGGGAGATTTTTGATTACTGCTTCAATTTCCTTAGTGGTTATCGGTCTGTTGAGGTTTTCTGTTTCTTCCTGGTTCATTTTGGTAATTTATACATCTCTGGAATGCATCCATTTCTTCCAGATTGTCTAATTTGCTGGCGTACAGTTGCTCATAATATGTTCTTATAATTGTTTGTATTTCTTTGGTGTTGGTTGTGATCTCTCCTCTTTCATTCATGATTTTATTTATTTGGGTCGTTTCTCTTTTCTTTTTGATAAGTCTGGCCAGGGGTTTATCAATCTTGTTAATTCTTTCAAAGAACCAGCTACTAGTTTTGTTGATCTGTTCTACTGTTCTTTTGGTTTCTACTTCATTGATTTCTGTTCTGATCTTTATTATTTCTCTTCTCCTGCTGGGCGTGGGCTTTATTTGCTATTCTTTGTCCAGCTCCTTTAGGTGTAGGGTTAGGTTGTGTATTTGGGACCTTTCTTATTTCTTGAGAAAGGCTTGTATTGCTATATACTTTCCTCTCAGGACTGCCTTTGCTGCATCCCAAAGGTTTTGAACAGTTGTGTTTTCATTTTCATTGGTTTCCATGAATTTTTTTAATTCTTTCATTTCATGGTTGACCCATTCATTCTTTAGTAGGATGCTCTTTAGCCTCCATGTATTTGAGTTCTTTCCGACCTTCCTCTTGTGATTGAGTTTGTTTCAGAGCATTGTGGACCAAAAATATGCAGCGAATGATCCCAATCTTTTGGTACTGGTTGAGACCTGATTTGTGACCTAGGATGTGATCTATTCTGGAGAATGTTCTATCGGCACTAGAGAGGAATGTGTATTCTGTGGCTTTGGGATGGAACGTTCTGAATATATCTGTGAAGTCCATCTGGTCCAGTGTGTCATTTAAAGCCTTTATTTACTTGTTGATCTTTTGCTTGCTTAGATGATCTGTCCATTTCAGTGAGGGGGTTTTAAAGTCCCCTACTATTATTGTATTGTTGTCAATGTGTTTCTTTTGTTATTAATTGGCTTATATAATTGGCTGCTCCCATGTTAGGGGCATAGATAGTTATAATTGTTAGATCTTCTTGTTGGATAGACCCTTTAAGTAGGATATAGTGTCCTTCCTCATCTCTTACTATAGTCTTTGGTTTAAAATCTAATTTGTCTGATATAAGGATTGCCACCCCAGCTTTCTTTTGGTGTCCATTAGCATGGTGAATGGTTTTCCACCCCCTCACTTTCAATCTGGAGGTGTCTTTGGGTCTAAAATGAGTCTCTTGCAGGCAGCATATCAAAGGGTCTTATTTTTTTATCCAATCTGATACCCTGTGTCCTTGATTGGGGCATTTAGCCCATTTACATTCAGGGTAACTATTGAAAGAGATGAATTTGGTGCCATTGTATTGCCTGTAAGGTGACTATTACTGTATATTGTCTCTATTCCTTTCTGGTCTGTGTTACTTTTAGGTTCTGTCTTTGCTTAGAGGACCCCTTTCAATCTTTCTTGTAGGGCTGCTTTGGTGTTTGCAAATTCTTTTAGGTTTTTTTTGTCCTGGAAGCCCTTTATCTCTCCTGCTAGTTTCAGTGACAGCTTAGCTGGATATAGTATTCTTGGCTACATATTTTTCTCATTTAGGGCTCTGAATATATCATGCCAGTCCTTTCTGGCCTGCCAGGTGCCTGTGGATAGGTGTGCTGCCAATCTAATGTTTCTACCATTGTAGGTTACAGACCTCTTGTCCCGAGCTGCTTTCAGGATTTTCTCTTTGTCTCTGAGACTCGTATGTTTTACTATTAGATGTCGGGATGTTGACCTATTTTTATTGATTTTGAGGGGGGGTTCTCTCTGCCTCCTGGATTTTGATGCCTGTTTCCTTCCCCAAATTTGGCAAGCGCTCTGCTATAATTTGCTCCAGTATACCTTCTCCCCCCTCCCCCTTTCTTTTTCTTCTGGGATCCCAATTATTCTAATATTGTTTTGTCTTGTGGTATCACTTATCCCTCAAATTCTGCCCTCGTGATCCAGTAGTTGTTTATCTCTCTTTTTTCTCAGCTTCTTTAGTCTCCGTCATTTGGTCTTCTATATCACAAATTCTGTCTTCTGCCTCATTTATCCTAGCAGTTAGAGCCCCCATTTTTTATTGCCCCTCATTAATAGCCTTTTTGATGTTGACTTGGTTAGATTTAAGTTCTTTTATTTCTCCAGAAAGGGATTCTCTAGTATCTTCCATGCTTTTTTCAAGCCCAGCTAGTATCTTTATAGTCATCATTCTAAACGCTAGTTCTGACATCTTACGAATGTCCGTATTGATTAGGTCCCTGGCAGTCAGTACTGCCTCTTGGTTTTGTTTCTTTTTTTTTTTTTTAGGTGAGTTTTTCTGTCTTGCCATTTTGTCCAGAGAGTAGGTGAATGAGAGAACAAAATGTTAAAAGGATAACAACAATTCCAGAAAAATGTACACTAAACATATCAGAAGAGACCTGAAACCAGGGGCAAAAGAGGGAAAGAAAAAAAAAAAAGAATATGTTCAGGCTGGTGAATAGATGAGAGCCACACACTAGATTTTGGGCGTATTTTGGTCTCTTAGAAGAAGCTGCCTCCAAAAATTTTAAAGAAAGAAAAACTTATGTATGTACAAAAATAAGGGTAAATATGATCAAGGGTTGGAATATGAGTATAAAGATGAAAATTATAAAAGATTTTATAAAAGAAATTGATGAGAAGTTGGTTGAAAAAACAAAAAAGATAATTTCAAAAAAAGGAGCGGGGATAGAGAATGTGATCAGGCAGGAGACTAGAACAAAGCCATACACTAGAGATTTAGGGTATATTTTGTTCTGTTAGAAGAAACTGTATCCCAAAATTTTAAAGAGAGAAAAACATATACACACAGACACACAAAATAAGGTTAACTACAATGAAGGGATAGAATATGACTCTAAAAATGAAAATTAAGAAAGATTTTTTTAAAGATATTTTTTATGTATTTATTAACAGAGAGGCAGAGAGCACAGGTAGGCAGAGGGGCAGGCAGAGGGAAAGGGAGAAGCCGACCTTCTGCTGAGCAGGGAGCCCGATGCGGGGCTCAATCCCAGGATCCTGGGATCATGACCTGAGCCGAAGGCAGTCCCTTAACTGGCTGAGCCACCCAGGTGCCCCAAGAAAGTTTTTTTTAAAAGGAATTGATAAGATGTTTGAAAAAGGGGAAAAGGAAAAGAAAATAAAAATTTAAAAAATTAACTTTGAAAGACTAAGGAATCATGGTAAAAAAGCCATGAATTCTATGTGCAGTATTCCCCTAGCGCTGGAGTTCTCCGTTCTCCTTGGTGGATAAACTTGGTCTTGGCTTGCTGGCTGTTTGTGCTGATCTGGGGGAGGTGCCTGTTGCCGTGGTTCCCAAATGTCTTTGCTGGAGGTGGAATTGCCCCACCCTTGTGTGTCCGGGCTAAGTAATCTCCGGCTTGCTCTCGGGAGCTTTTCCCTGCAAGCTCTTGGTACAGCTTTGGAGGACCAGGGTGAAAATGGTGGCCTCCCAATCTCCTCCCGGAGGAGCTGAGAACTCGGGGCCCCGCTCCTCAGTGCGCCCCCAGAGAAAAGCAGTCAGTCACTCCCGTCTCCCCGGTCTCCGGCCGCACTCCGTGCTCACCAGGCCTGTGAGCGAGCGTTTCTATCCCTGGCACCCGACCCCGTGTGGAGTCTCCAAACCCAGCAGATCCCTGCGGTGCGCTCCCGCGCCGCTCCTCCCGGGGGAGGAAGGGGAGTCTCCCCGGCTCTGCCGCTTGTTGGGACCCTGCTGGAGAAGCAGTGGCACGACATGGTGTGGCACAAGTTTGTTCTGATTATCTCTGTAGCTGCTTTGTTGAGCAAACCTTACTCCTTGTGAATGATACACACCCTCCCGTTGTCTATATGGGGGATCGTGATGTCAGTGAAAATGCTTGCGTTTGAAAACAACAGGTGTGGGGTTGGATCCCGCTGCCGGTGTGCATTGCTGAGTATCTCTGAGCCTGTTTTTTCTTCTGTAAAATGGACATAGTTATAACTGCAGTTTGTCAAGGAGACTGAGGCTCCTATGGGTGGCACGAGTCCATGCTCAGTGACAGGTAGTTCGGCTGGTTTCATCATTGGGACAGAGTGTGATGGACGGTGATGGTGGGGTGCTCACACATGGTTCAGACACGGTGGTGGCCGACTGGTCATCAGGCCCCCCAGCTCCCCCACCAGCCATCACTCCCACCCCACCAGGCTCCCCACGCTCTCGGAGCACACTGGCCACAGGTCCAAGAGGTACATCACCTCTTCGGAGCCTGAGTTGGTTCATCTAGCAGTGGGTTGTCCCTGCCCGGGCACCATCAGCCTGTGTGCGGGGCTGCTTCACGAGTCCCCAGAATAAGAGAAGAAAGACCCCTTGAGGCTCCTTTTGCCTTGGGTGCTGTCAGCTTTGATATCTTCTGCCTCCCTCGCTGGCTGCCATCTCCACCGTGCCCCAATCACGTTTCAGGGCCTGAAGAACCAGCCCCGGGTGAAGCTGAACATCGTGAGGTGTCCGCCAGTGACCACCGTGTTGATCAGGAGACCGGACCTGCGCTACCAGCTGGGTTTCAGCGTCCAGAACGGAATCGTAAGTACGGCTCCACACTTCCTCCCAGTAGTCTGGCTACATAGAATTCTGGCACAGTGTTTGGTTTTACATTTTTATTTTTTTAAAGCCAGGCAGGTCCCCAAATGAATCCAGCAAGGAGGGGGCTGGCTGGGGGAGGGCCACCCTGCTTCCTCCGTGGGCAGATCCCCTTCGAGCAGAGAATTCTGTGCCTTCCACAGGAGAAGAAAAAGGCGCTAGCCGCAGTCAGGGCCCTGAGTCTCTCGGTGACGGTGCAGGGTGGCGCTGGGACGTGCGTCCGAGCGCTTCTTCCCCCTCCGGTCCCGGGTGTGCAGCGCTGGGGCTGGGTGGGCTCCCCGGTGATTCCAGGCACCGCCCAGTGGGGCGCCCCTGGACCTGTGGCGCATGAATGGCCTCCGCCTTGCCTTTGTAACCTGAAATAGCACTGTAGGGCTAAAGAGTATTTTCATCACTTGGATGTCTGCCTTGAAACAATACTTCCTTTTTTTCTTTATTGTGGTGAAATACAGCGCTAAGTTTACCATGGAAACGATTTTTTTTTTTAAGATTTATTTTGAGAGAGAGAGAGAGTACATGAGAGGGGGGAGGAAGGTCAGAGGGAGAAGCAGACTCCCCGCTGAGCAGGGAGCCTGATGCAGGACTCGATCCCGGGACTCCAGGATCATGACCTGAGCCGAAGGCAGTCGCTTAACCAACTGAGCCACCCAGGCGCCCATGGAAACGATTTTTAAGCATACAGTTCTGTAGCATGAAGTACATTCATTCACAGTGGTATAACCACCACCACTAGTTCTTTCCAGAACTTTTTCTTCGTCCCAAGCCGAAACTCCGTACTCAGTACTATTCCCTTTTGTCCTGGTTTGTCTTGTTCTGGACTCAACAGGAGGTCTGGGCTTTGATGATAGTCCCGTTCTGTCTGTGACCTTCTTGACTTTTAGGTTTTGGATATGCCCTCCTTCTGTTTTGCCTCCATCTTTCCAGGTTGAAGAACCCTATTCTTTTCCCCCTTAAGTTGCAATTAAGAGTGGCAGGTTATTCAAATTTTATTCCGAGTATGTTTTGAGGTTTAGAAATACCATTGAGGTCCGCAGGTGGCGTGGAAACATCCAGCCCCTTCATCTGTTCTTTGTACCCCAGGGGCCTTGTCCTAGGCTGGGGAGCCAGGGTTCCTCCTCATGGTTTGCGCCAGATGTCTGTTTTTATCTGCTCATTTTCCTTGTTCGCTTTGTTCATATTCAAATAATTTTAGAAGTTGTTCAGATACAAAGGGTTGTTGGACAACAGCAGCAGGTCCCTCAGTTTTGTCTGAAGTGTGGGAAGCGCCCACGGAATGTTTGACCCCAGGGCACCCCCAGGGCCACGGGGTCCCTGTGCTCAGACACAGGCAGCCCGGTGTCTCAGGACGCCGAGGTCTTGTCTACGTGGGCTGAAAAGGTGCATGATCTGAAGTGAAAAGTCAACTCTGTAAATTCAGAACATATTTTTGGGGGGAAAGTCTGATGCCTTGTGTGAGGTGGGGAGAGCTTGGCTCCCAGGGCCGAGCCCAGAGCCCTCCAGGCCCTGGAGAGGCCATCTCCTCTGCGAACTGTGATGCCTGGCCGTACAGCGGTGGAAACCAGCCGCGGTGGCCTTTCCGTGAGGAGTGAGTTCGAACCAGGGCTGCGGAGTGGTGAAGGTCGAAAGGAGCCAGATGGCCACACTTTGGCTCATGTAACTGTGACCCTGAAAAGCAGGCTTCGAACGTGATAACAGTTCGATGTTTGAGTCCCAGGGGTGAATGTGGGAAGTGATAGCCGCCTGTGTTCCACGGGCTGAGAGCTTGAAACCACGGCGGCTCGGTAACAGGCCCCAACAGCTCTTTCTCCCATGCCCCAGCTGGGATGACAAGCAGTCAGAACTCAGCGGGCTGTGACGCCCCGTGATGCGCCGAGTGCACGGGCGCACGGCCCTGTTTGTCGTGGGAAGAAACCGAGAGATTTAAATGCCCCCAAAGTAACCACAGCGGCTTCTTAGAGATGAGAGGGCAGGGGCTCCAGGAACGACAGGCCCGTCCCCACCCAGCTCCCCTCCACGTGGTGCTGCCCTGAAGGGTAACGTGGTCTTTGCCTCTGACAGATCTGCAGCCTCATGCGAGGGGGGATAGCAGAGAGAGGCGGCGTCCGCGTGGGACACCGGATCATTGAGATCAACGGGCAGAGCGTGGTGGCCACGCCACACGAGAAGATCGTCCACATCCTCTCCAGTGCGGTGGGGGAGGTAGGACAAGGGGGGCCCGGTGGGGGGTGGCCTGGCGCCCCTGGCCTCGCGCTTGTGCAGCCCCACACAGGCCTTCCGGGGAGTGTCCGTCCTGGTCCTGAGCACTGCCCGACGGCCAGAACCGTCCGTCCCAGCCCACATTTAACCCAGTGACTAGCCGTGCCCGAGAGCAGCTCCTGCCAACAGGAGCGAGTCTCCTGCGCATTACTTGCTCTCCTTCCCTTTTGGACTCTCAGATTCATCCGTGTGGCTGCCCTCTGGGGCTGCCCAAGTTCTGTCCGGTTTTCCAGTTAGCGTGCTGGGGAGACGGAAGTCTTCGCTTGAATCTCATCAGCAGAGCCCCGTCCGGGGGCAGCTCCCCGGTAGGGGCCTCCTGAGGTCGTGGTGGCTGTGCCTGGGCCCCCTTTCTGGGCCACCCGACCTGCGGGGGGCAGTGGGGGGAGACAGGAGGAGTCAAAACCCGCTGTCTTCTCTGAGGTCGTAAGGGGTTTTCTCCTTAACAAACAAAACCCCCACAACCTCAGCCCGGTGAGAGCAAGAACGTTGCACTGGCTGGGAGAACAAACATTTTAGAGAGCCCGTGGATTCCTGTCTTCCTGGAGGCCACCCTGGTCCGCTCCCTGTCGTGGTTGGGGGGGCTGGGGGTGGGGGGGGGGGGGTTTTTAAACCCCCCCTGGGTTTAGCCCCCCCCCCCCCCCCCCCCCAGGGCCATGGGCCCACACACAGCCCCCGGCCTCAGGCCCACTGACGCGCCTTCCGCCCCTCAGATCCACATGAAGACGATGCCAGCGGCCATGTACAGACTGCTGACGGCCCAGGAGCAGCCCGTTTACATCTGAGGCCGCGCGCCTGCCTGGCCGCTTGCATGGAGGCCTGTCCTCACTCGTGGTGTGTTTCTCGTGCTGCATCTGTGTGCCCACCGAGACCCTTCCCTCTCACGCCCAGCACCGGTTCTCTGCAGAAGAGAAGAAGCCGCAGACCTCTTTGCCCTGTCTCTCTCTGGTTTGCAATTTTGTTTTCTTTTGTTTTTTAAACGCCAGGGACGTTTTGTCTGCGCTCACTTGAGGATAGAGAGCAGCCGCTAGCCACCGGGTCCTGGCCCAGGCCGGCACCATCCTGAAGGGCCCTCGGGGGTTCCGAGGGAGGCCGTCACTGCTCAAGGGCAGTGAGTCCGGCCGCGGTTCCTGGCTCTCCGTCGGGCTGACAGCAGGCACCAGCTGCATCTTCAAGGGTTTGCCCGGCCCACCGTGGACCAGGGGCACCCCACAGCTCCACCCAGAATTTCTGAGCCAACCTTAGGCCTCTTCTAGAGCTGGTTTTAGTTTCCACATCGTTTTGTTTTGTTTGTTTTGTTTTTAACGTGAGCCTTCTCACCCAAGGGTAGAAGGGGAGCTGCCTGGGACCAGGGCACTATCTCGTTGCAGAGAGCTCAGCGGTTCCTGGGGTGGCCTGGGCCTCCCTGGTCGTCCCAAGGTTACCAGCCATCAGATAGACATGGCAGGTACTCCAGTCCCCCTTCTCTGCCGCACACGATCACCCTCGCCTCCTCCCACCACCAGTGAGGCACACACAGTCCCTGGAAAGCCCACACCGCCGCTCTGTGAGGCCCCTTCCCCTGACCGGTGGGGCCTGCAGGGGTTGCCCAGCCCTGTCCTGAGAGAGACGCCCCCTCCGGGGCTGAGGCCTGGCTCTGCCACGGCACCGCCTTGGCTCAGCGAGCACTAGTGGGCTCCCCCGAGCCCCCACTCCACACCCGCGCAGGGAGTCTGGGAAGGATGGACTGCTCCCCTTGAGGAAGAGTGCCCGGGTGCCCAAGGCGGGACCAGCTTTCTCCTCTGCTCAGGGCCACTGAGGCAGCACGTAACATTTGAAAGTCCAGCATAGTAATAAACCACAAAACTAAGGGAACAGGAATGACCTCACACTATGCCTAAGAATCCGCAAGTGTGTTCTAGAAACATCGTCTCGCTGCGTCGTGGGTCTGAGAGAGCTTTGAGCGTTCCCATCAGGTGCCTCATTTCGTGGGTTCTGTCTCGGTTCAGTGCAGGTGTTTCCGTAATATTATTCTGAGCCAGTTTTCACTTATTCTTGGTCCAAAGAGCATTTTGTTTTCATGTAGGTGGGTGTGGGTCGGTTTGATTTTCGTTTTGTTTCGTTCGTGACCTCAGCAGAGACAGGGGAAGAGAAACTAATATATTTTGTGATATTAATAGAGTCCCTGTTCTCTGCACCGGGGATATTTATGTTGTGTCTTTGGAAACAGGAATTTGACGAGCACATGTTGGCTAGTATGTATTTATATGTCGAATGGAGGGATTTCGGGGAGGGAGGAAAGGGAGTATAAAAAAACAGGAACAAAAGACCGCCCCCCCCCCCGAGCGGGCAGTTCCCCTGGGATTTCTGTACCTCCTGTTTTCTGCTGAGAGTCAGGAGAGCCGAATGTTCCAAAGGTGTCAGTGGCTGACCCTTCAGTTTGACGATAGTACAAGCCCTAAGGAAGAGGGGTCACTGCTGCCCGAACATCCTCTCTGGGAAGGGGCTGCCCCCTCTCCAGGGGTGCCGGGGTAGACGGTCCAGGACCCCTGGTCTTTTTGAGGATGCTCAGCCCCAGCGGCTGGCTTACCACACCTGTGAGCAGCCAGAATCATGGCTCCAGATTCTCCGTTTATATATATAAATATATTAAGTCCTAAAGAGTCATGCATTGGTCCTTCCTCTGCCAAAAAGAGTGGGTAAAATAGGAACAAAGCATTACTGGTGGTATTTTAGGCATCAGGAGCCTTGGCAAATCATGGGAGGGGCTCAGGCCTGTCTGCCTGCTGCCTGAGCACCTGGACAGAGGCCTGTCCACGATGGGCCGGCAGACGGGGACCCCCCCCAGCCCAGCACTGTGCAGCCTCCCCATAATTACAATTAAGTATCTTCACCCAAAGGAGAGGGGAAAGCGAGCATCGATTCTGTTGCTATGGCACAAAAATCTTGGAACATTTGGCAACGTTCGCCAGAAAAGCCAATCTGGTGGGCTCTCCGGGAAGACCAACATATTTTAGCCTAAGAGGAAGGTTCTTTATCCACCACTTACCTTCCGTCAGTCCAAGCAGCTCCTCACACCCCAATAGCGCATGTTCCTGGAGCTCGGTCTGGGTTTGGCTGGCTGGAGTCCGTTCCTTCCCCTGCTCCCATCGGATGGAGGGGCCTCACCCACCTTTGGTTAACCAAGGAGGTGGGGTCTTATGTGTCAGTAACCTGTTTGGGAAAATCCCGTGGGACGAGGTGGTCTCTTTCCTTCTGGCATCCCAGTATATATAGTTATATATGTAAATACCCGAACACCCCCATCTCACGGGGAAGACTGTACAGAGCAGCCTTCCCAAACAGGGCCCGGGCGAAAAACCACTCTTGCTGCTTGGCTGGGACATGCTGGTGACTCAGCTTTGGGGACAGATACTCAGATTTGTCTGCCCCTCCTGGTCCGGGCAGGATGCACCAGAACGCACCCTGTCTCTCCCTTCTCACCTGGGAGCATTTCAGGGAGCCACCATCAGCCTTGGGTTCGCGAGAGGAGGAAACCCCCAGAGACCAAGACCCGGCGTCCGCTCCCTCACCAGAGCGGGCCCCTCAGGGCATCCTGAGCCTGCCGCGGGCCGCCCCCCCCCCCAAAGCCCACCACAGGGCACCGGACGCCGAGCCTCCGCGCGCAGGTCTGCTGTCTGGACACTGCCCGTCTACACTTGCCTCAGAGAGTCCCAGAGTAACCTACTACCTCCCCCATCACTCCTGCCGCCCCCCAGGCCCCCATTTGCACTCCACACCCCCACCTGCACGCTGAGGAAACCCATCCATGAGCCCCTCTTGGGTCCCTCGACCCAGTGGTGTGGCTGTTACCACTGTTTACAACCAAGGGCCACCTCCTTTCAGATATGTTTACGCTCCCACTGACACAGCCACTGGCTGGTTTGAGTTTCACGTCCGTCGGCTCCTTCCCCAGTTTGGGCCAACTAGGGCACACGACCCGATTCTTTGCCCCCCTCTGTCAAGGCAGTGCGTGCGTGAGGACCACGTGGGAAGGAAATTTCTTGTACATAGTCAGCACAGCCCCTGGAGTATGAACTTGTACTATTGTTCTGTAAAGAGGGTGAAATAGAGCTTATTGTAAAGCTTGGGACAAGTAGAGTATTGTATTTGTAACAATATCGTTCTTTGTATACACAAAACTCAATGATCTCTATATATAAATATAAATTATATAAATAAAATATATACACACGTGAGCCTGGAATGTTGGCGCCACACACCCACTGAATGTACTTCCTCCGGCAGCCTGGTCACTGGGCCCGGCCGCCCTCCCCTCCTCTGTACCGTTTTGGGGGTTGTGATGTATTCGGTGTGTTCTCTTCCTTTATTTAACTGAACGCTAATGTCTGTAAGAGTTGCTGCAACAATAAATAAGAACTTCACCTCTTGGCCCAGGCCGAGCATCCTGTTGTTTCGGGGAAGGGACGGGAGGGGCCCCAGGTCAGGGGAAGATGGGGTCTTTTCCTCCCCCTCAGGCCACCTCCTGGCCCTCGTGGAGGGCTTGCTTCTGCCCAGAGCCCAGGCGCGTCCCGTGAAACCCGCTCGACCCTGGCAGTGTCACCTGTTAGTGCAGACGTCCCAGCACCCTGGCAAGGCGGGTCCTGGCGGTCTCCTCGCGTTACCAGCACTGGGTGGGAGCGGAGGCGGGTGGGCAGGCTTCCTCACCAGCACCTCTGGGCAAGCCCCCCGGAGCTGGGCTGCCTCCTCCCCCGATGACTGTCCCCTGGGGGTGGGACTACCCCTGCCCCTGCCCGGGGGTACCTCACACCACCCCCTCTCTGCTTGATCTCCCCTGCAATTGCAGAACTAGAGAAAAAGCACCCGCCCGCCCGGCCATACACACAACCTTCGTTCTAGTCTTCTGTCCTTTCCCCTTACATCACGATCCTCCGTTCCCTAACCCTCCCCCCCCCCCCCCCCCCCCCTCCCTCCCCCCCCCCCCCGCCCCCGAGCTTCTTCCTCACCTGCAGAATAGCATCTATCTCGTGGGGACACAGTGAGGGTCGGCTAAGGCATTCGAAGCCTTTACAGCGTGCATGGCTCCCAGAAGGGCTGGCCCCGTGGCATTAAAGCAAGCATGCCCACTCTCCCGGGCCCGCAGACACAGGCCCGCATAAGCTGCCTGCGCCTTCACTCACCCCTGCACTGCACAATCAGCAGCCACAGCTCTGCAACGTCCCCATGGGTGCTGGCGGTGTCTCCACTCAGCTCAGGGGGCCCTAGCACCCCTGAAGCCCCAGCTTGGCCTGCAGAGCATTATAAACTGATGCATTTGATTGCCTCCCACAAATGCATATTTTAGTTCCTGGTTAAAAAAAAAAAACAACCAACATCTGGACTGTCAATGTATAACTTTTTAAAAGTTAAAACTATAACTCTCCTACACATCCAGGATGAACACACATCAAAGATTAACGCAGTGACGAAACAAGCAATAAAGCTGGTCCAAAGAGCATCTGGAGGTACCACGCATTTACAGACATTTAAAAGGAATGTGGGGGTACAACGGCTAGGTGAGCTGAAACTGGCCTGTGGCCTTAAAGTCAGCACTGCAACTATAACCTTCGGGTGACCTTGTCTGCCACGCTGCAGTCATCGGTCTGGCTGGCTGGGGGCAGAGGGAAGGCAGCTGGGCGGGGATCCGTGCTGTGCTGTGTGGAAAGGAGCCCCCACGTCCATACCAGCATCCTTCACAAGAGCGTGGGCAGCCCAAGCGTCCCCCAGCAGACAATGAGTAGTCCGAGCAGGACGTGGAGAGCTCTAGATACAGAACAGGATACAGCCTTGAAAAGGAAGCAAATGATGACACAGGCTACGACATGGAGCTTGAAGACGTTACGCCAAGTGACACAAAGCAGTCCCCAAAGGACAGATGCTGTACGACTTCCGGGAGATAGCTAGAGCAGTCAGATTTGTAGAGACAGAAAGGAGAATGGTGGCTGCCTGGGGCAGGGGGAGGGCAGACCAGGGGGCTATTGTTCCGTGGATATCGGATTTCGGTTTGGGAAGGTGGAGAAAGCTCTGGAGAGGGATGGTGGCCCAGGTTGCGCCACAGAGTGAATGTACTTAATGCCACAGAACTTTATTTTTTTTTTTTTAAGATTTTATTTACTTACTTGAGAGAGAGAGAGCGCGTG